GGGGGAGGTGTTGGTGTTGCTGCTGCAGTTGGAGAGCCCTTTGCCTTCCCCTTTCCCTGCCCCATCCACCCCCAGGATCGATATTGTTGCTGGCACATTGCTGAGGTGCAGGAACCAACCTGTCACTCTTTTGGGCCGTTTAAAATCTGCCCCATCCCCACATGGAGCCGGGTAGCAAGAGCTCAGGGCACGGGTGCCACCCCAGGGCTGGTGCTGAGCCAGGCAGGTGGGTTCAGCCTTCAGCTCAGTGCCCTGCATGGGACAAGCTGGGGGTGTTGGTGGCAGAGATGTGACGGGACACGTCCTGGGGCACATCCCCAAGCAGCTGCTGGACTTTAGGACAACCACAGCCTGTGCCAGCACCCCATAGCCCAGCCCGGGTGCCCCCAGGCAGGAGCTCACGGGCCGTTGTTTGTGGTTCTGCCCGGAGACCTGAGGACATCGTTTCACAGTTTCCTCTTTCCGTTTTATGTTGCATTTCCTGTGGTGGAAAACGCTGCCAGGGACAGCCCTGGGCAGGGACAGTGGGGACACGGGACAGTTTACTTTTGGTTTGCTTCTTGAAAACCTGTTGCAAAGCTCTGGCTGAAGGAGCTTAATTGCTGGAAGGGCTGGAAAGGGAAGGGGGATTGGAGGGAGGAATTGAAAATGGTGATTAGAAGTTATGGGGTTGGGTTTAAAAGCCTTTTTTCATTGCAAGTAAGGGGGGAAGAGGACAAGGTGCCTTGTTTGGGTTGCTGGGCTAAGGAGGATGTGAGTGCTGAGCTGTGGCTCTCAAATCACTCAGTTTGGGTAGGTGAGAGCCTGGGACATCTGCCACACTCCCTTCCAAAAATGTTGCCCTGGAGGTTAATCCAGTAGGTAAGAGGAGGGAGTTTCCCAAGGGGATGGAAGAGCAGCCAGCATCCCCCGGGTCCCGGGGCTGCAGTGTCCCCCGGCCAAGCGGGCACATGGCTGTGGTTTGCTCTGCCCAGGGAGCCCTAAAACTGCCGAGGTGCTTGTGCCCAGGAGGGAGGAAGAGCTGAGGGTGACACTCGTGTCCCCAGCACTTGTCACTGCCGACGGTTGGAACCGCAGAGCCGCCCAGTCCAGGCTGTGCCACCTCCTGACCCTGAACCCTGCGGGCACTTTGGGGCACTTTGGGGCACTCTAGTCCCCCCACACAGACTCTCTGGCCTCTGACCTCCAGGACTGCTGCCAGCCTGTGTCTCCCAGAGTCCCCACTGTCACTGGCAGAGCCAGCCTTTGCCTGGGACACCGGTGCAAACCACCCCCAGCACATTGCTGGACTCCTGCCCCTTCCCTCCCCTCCTTTCCCTGGGTTTGAACCCGAGCCAAGGCCAGTCACTGTGTTCAGTGTCTGCACAAGGTGGCACTGACCACCCTGCCCTGGGTGACCCCCTGACCACCCTGCCCTGGGTGTCCCCCTGACCACCTTGCCCTGGATGACCCCCTGACCACCCTGCCCTGGGTGACCCCCTGACCACCCTGGGTTGGGGCAGTGGGAAGAGGCAGCTGATCCCTGGTAGGGCTGTGGGTACCACTCTGCACCCCTGGGAATTCACCCCTTCCCTCTCCTGCTGCTCCAAGGGGTCTGCAGGGGGGCACAAATACCAGCAGTGGGAGCTTCACTCCAACACCTGAGTGATGCTGCAGGGAGGAGGGGGCACTTTAAGGAGCTGGCACGGCAGGAATGGTGCTCAGCCCTGGGCAGGATGAAGCCCGGCTGGTGCCAGGGTATGAAAGGGGCGAGGAGGCAACACCCAGGGTTTGGAGCTGGGAAAGGGGGCAGAGCAGGGCCCTGGTGGGGGCTGTGGCTGCTCAGGGAGCCGGTGGCTGAGCACCAAGCCTTGGGCAGGGGGTTGAGTTGGGGCTCTGCAGGCTGTGACTGCTCTGTTTTGTTGTTCCAGGGGGCAACATCTGCACCACCCGTGGGGTGAACTCCTGCAAGCAGTGCCTGGCTGTGAGCCCCCTCTGTGCCTGGTGCTCTGCCGAGGTAAGAAATGGGAGGGCTGAGCTGGGGGGGCTGAGCTGGGCTGAAGCTCATCCCTGAGCAGGACCAGGGGTGTGTAGGAAGGGACGAGCCTTTGGGCTGTGGGATTAGTCCCAGGCTCCATCTCCACCAGTTCCCATCATGTCTAAACACATCCCCCTGGCTCAGACCTGCACTTCACTCCTGCCCTGCTCCCAAAATCTGCCCCTTAAGCATGTGCTGGTGGGAGCTGCCTCAAGCTGGCTGGGAAATGATGCTGCTTCCACTGGGAAATCACTTTGCCTTTCAAATAACGTGCATGTAAAAGCTCAGTTTACTTTTGGTTTGCTTCTTGAAAACCTGTTGTAAAGCTCTGGCTGAAGGAGCTTAATTGCTGGAAGGGCTGGAAAGGGAAGGGGGATTGGAGGGAGGAATTGAAAATGGTGATTAGAAGTTATGGGGTTGGGTTTAAAAGCCTTTTTTCATTGCAAGTAAGGAGGGAAGAGGACAAGGTGCCTTGTTTGGGTTGCTGGGCGAAGGAGGATGTGAGTGCTGAGCTGTGGCTCTCAAATCACTCACTTTGGGTTGGTGAGAGCCTGGGAGATCTGCCACACTCCCCTCCAAAAATGCTGCCCTGGAGGTTAATCCATTAGGTAAGAGGAGGGAGTTTCCCAAGGGGATGGAAGAGCAGCTCCAGGGCAGAGCCAAGGGAGGTGAGGCTGGGATGGGGAGAGGTGATGAAACCTTCAGGGCATCCAGCCGGGGTGGATCCCCCTCTGGCAAGGCTTTCCTTGCTTTCTGCTTCCTCCAGCTGAGGCTGTGCCCGTGGTGTCCAGGAGAAGACCTGGGAAAAAGTGATCCAAGCTGGAAAAGGCTGTTGGATCATGCCTGTGTGGTCAATGCCTTGGGGTCAGTGTGTGTCTGGAGGGGATGGCTGTGCTTGCTGTGCCCATCAGATAGGGCTGGACCTCGGGTGTGGTGTGAATAAAGATGTTTGTGCCCCTCTTATCTCCCTCGGGGAGTGTCTGAAATGTGCCGGGTGATAAAGGGCCTGGCTTCCCTCTGGATCCCCTGTCCAAGGGGGAATGCTGGCTGGGCTGGGCTGGGCTGGGCTGGGCTGGGCTGGGCTCCCTCCTTCCCGGCTGCTGACTGGGCAGGGCTGATGTCTTAACGCTGCAGCGGGGGCTGTGATGGAGCTTTTTTTTTCCTCCAGATCAGCAAAGGTTTCCAAAAAAGGAAATATTTCCAGTGCTGCTGCGAGCTGTGCTCGTGGACAGACGTGACAGCAGCGAGGGAGCCGTCCCACTGCCAGAGCCGGCCCCCGGAGAGCCGGGAGTGCAGCTCAGCTCAGCAACTCTGCCCCAACATCTGGACCACATTGTCCTAATTTAGCAAATGAGGGTTTTTGCTGCGGGTTTGTTTAATTTCCCTGGGGTGGGGGAGGTCTCTGATACTGCACAGCCCCCCTTTTTTTTAAAGGGACAGTGCCTTTAGTTGTGCTCCTGCTCCTGCTGCAGCCCTTTCCCACTCACTGGGGTGATGAGTTATTGCTGCTCCATCCTGGGCTGGGATGAGAGAAGGATTTCATTGTGGTTTCTTGTGATTACTGCCCTCCCCCCCCCCCCCCCCCCCCCCCCGAGCGCTGATGCAGAGGGGAGTTGAGTTTTATTTATTTTTTGGAAACCTTGACCACTCTTCCCAACAAATAGATGCTCTCATCCACTCACTTTTGCTTTTGGAAAAAGCCAGCCAAGCTGTAACACTGACACGTTGGAGATTATTGTGACAGATCTTCCAGCACGTCACCCTCCCAAAATGTCACCCATTCTGGTTCCCTTGGAGGAAAGGTGGAGGCAAGGCTGGACCAGGGGTGGATTTCAGAGAAGCTGCTGGAAGATTTTAGCTTAATTTGGGGAGGTATCTGTGCTCTGAGCCCTCCCAGGAGCTCTCCTGCAGAGAAGCTGATGCTGCATGTGGTTGTGTCAGAGCTGAGAATGGAGATCCCTTGAGGATGTGGGAGTTTCCACAGCCTCCCACCCTGGGAAGGCAGGGATGGAGCTGGCTCTGGCAGTGCCCTGCCTGACCCTGCCCTCACTTAATGGCTCTGGAGGCAGAAATTGGGATAAAATCACCAGGTTTCCCATCCTGAGTTAAATCCTCCCTCCCTGCAGCGGGACAGAGGGCAGGTGGGGCTGGGGAGCATCTCTGGGAAGGGCTGTGGGAAGGCTGGGATGGAGGGCTGGGAACACATCCCCCCACATTTCTGCCCTAAGGAGCTGATGCCATCAGGGCTGTGCTGATGGAGAAGAAGGATTTATCACAGGTGAAGTCCTTGCATTATGTGTTTGTCACCAGCAGGCCTTGGCTGCCCCAGGTTGTTCCCACCTGGGGCTGTGCCCAAAGTGCTGAGTCAGCAAGGTGGCAGAGACTGGGGTCAAAAGTAGACTGGGAGCTGCCAGAGCCTCATAGCCAAATACCCCTTGGATGGCACAGGAATGTTTTCCTTCACCTTTTGCAGTGGTTTTGTTGCTGGGGAGGCTCCTGTGAGTCCTGAGCCAACCTCAGTATCCAGGGCTCCAAGGAAAGGAGAAGGATGCAGTCCTGGGGTTAAACAGCTTCTCCATGGGAATCTCACAGCAGGAATGGTGCTGCTAATCCCACAAGATGCCACGTGGCCTTTGAGGTCCTGGGAACTCCCTGGGATCTCCAGGTATCCCCCAGTGCCATGGATAAACCCCACCTGCCCAGCCTGCTTTTCACCCACACATTTTTCCAGCAATTTCCCTTCCTGGGACAGGAATGTACGTGATGATTGATGGGATCTGGAGTGAACCAGCCACCTCTTCCCACAGCAGGAGCCCCGTGGGGTGAGCCTGTGGGGTGGGTGGGTGCAAGGGAGCTAATTTGGAGGGATGACTCGTCCTCCTCCCCGTCAGCAGCGATCCAGTGGGATCGGGAGGCTGTGGGGGAGGAACACGCCTGCTGATGTATTCCTTGGCTGTCCCTGCTTCCAGAGGGCCATGGGCCAGCCAGGGCCTCCTGACACCATTGCATTCTTTTTCTTGTTTGCAAATTCATCCCTGGGTTCAATCAACTTGAACCCAGGGCAGAGGATATCCTGGATGGGAACCTCTCCAGCACCGTGAGACTCAGAACTGGGATCCAGCATCCCTGGACCAGCCCCACAAGGACTTGTGCCACCTCCCTTTGCTGCAGGGAGAGGCTGTGCTGGTCCTCTGCTGTAGGACTCCGATGTAGAAAGGCTTGGGCTGTGGGAGACAGATGGAAAATCCCTCTGGGGAGGAGGGTGGACACTGCCTGAGCAGGAACATGTCACAGCAGATCCCGGCAGTGATGGGGGGAGAGAAATTCTTCCCATATTTGTCTCCATGAGAAACTGAAGGGACGTGAACCCTTCTGAATGTGTGGTGATAAGGGCAGGGAGCCGGGGGCTTTCTAGGAAAGGAGGGACAGGGCTGGAGCCCGCAGTGACTCCACACTTTGTGCTTCCTGCCCCTGACGGGCCCTTGACGGCTTCTCCCACACCCCGGTGCCTGTTCACTCTTTCACTCCTTTTTTGGTGCTCCTTTCCCGGTCAGCTCCATCCGGCAGGAAGCTGGGGAGCTGGAGATAAGCCTGATCCACTCCTGGGCAAGAACTGAGCACTGCTCCCTGCACTGGGCTCACCCACAGAGGGCCCATTCCTTGCTCACGGCAGGATTCCTGAGGGCACGTGTGGAGAAAATGGAGGGAAAAGGTGATTTGTCTTTTGCCAAAGCAACAAGTAATTTAAAAAAGTCCCAGCCTGCCCCTGTTCACATCCCACCACACCCTCCTCCAGCCATCCCACAGAGACAGGCTTTCCTTTCAGCTCTGCCAGAACCCAAACGTGAGGCTCCAGCTGCCAGGAGCCAGGAGGGGGTTGGCAGGGCTGTGTTATCCATCACTCCTTGGCAGGGGTTGCTGAGCTCCTGCTTTGGGTCCTGGCAGGACGTGCTGATCTCAAATCCCCTCTGTCTGCCACCTCCCTTGAGCACAGACCGTGAGCCCCAAAACCCCTCCGGTCCTGGTCTGGCATGAGGTGTGATAAAGCTCTCCAGGGAAAAGGGGGGTGGTTTTCCTTCTCCCAGCTGTGGGGAGCTGGTTCCTGACCGTGTCCCTCTCCCCCAGGTCTGGGCACAGTCATCCCCTCGCTGTGACCTCCGTGCCAACCTGCTGCACAACGGCTGCGGGCAGGAGCACATCGAGTCCCCCAGCAGCAGTGTCACCATCCTGGAGGACAGACCCCTCAGCAACAAGGGCTCAGGGGGGGCCACCACCACCCAGATGAGCCCTCAGAGAATTCGGCTGAACCTGCGGCCGGGTAAGAGCCCCCAGGCTGCTGTGGGAAGGGGGGGATGCAGTGGGAATAACCCAAAGGGCTCAGGCAGTGACAGAGCCACGGCTCCGCCTCGCCGGCCAAGGGGGTCTTGTGGGGGCAAGGCCAGGCTGGGGCTGCACTGAACCCTCCAGAACATCCCTGGTGGGCAGCCTGCAAGCTGCTTGCTGCGTTCAGTCTCTTGCCTCAAGCCTGATGTGCCCAAGGGGCAGGACTGGATGTGACTTCAACAAAAAGCCGTTTGGATCCGAGGCGCTGCCGCTGCGCTCGGAATTCCTGGGTGGAAGTCGGCTCGTGTCTAACGAGCAGCTGGCAGGGCTGGGCTGCCAAGAGGTCCTGTAATTTCCCTGGCTCCCTTCAGCCAGGCAGGCTGGAGCCAATTAACTGCTCTGGTCCTCTGCCAGCAGCCAGGAGTTTCGAGGATGCCAAGCAGGAGGCAAAGCTAACGGGCGTCACTCGCCCGAGCTCACAGAACCGGTTCGGGGAATGTCGCTGGTAAAGTCAGAACGGCCAAAGCGACATAGATATCAGACCTAGCCCAGGTGTAAGGTGATCAGGAAGCTGTTTATTGCTCTCAATTGCTCTTTTATACTCTTTGTACACTATTGTGCCACAACACAATTGGTCAAAAGTCTCAAGCATAAAACACAGTACATACATTGGTAATCCAGAAGACACTGCACACACTCTCATTGGTGACACTGAAGACACTGTGCACGCTGTCATTGGTGATATTATGCACATTTTGATTGGTGACCTTTGGTCTGGGCTGCATTACGTTTGTTCCATCCGGCATTACAGTAAATATTTCCTTAGAGTTGTTTACATTCCTCATCACTAATTGCCAGGCTGCTGCCAGGTTCTCTGTCAACCCCGATAGGGGAACATGGAGCGAGCGGTGCCATCGCCTGCTCTGCCCCAGACATCCCCTCACGGGTCACTCTGCCAGTCTCAGCAGGAACAATTTTGGTTCCTTGTGCTCATTAAAGCCCTGGGGTTGGATGTCAGTGGCTGATAGCACGTGGCACATCCCTGGGCCTGGCCAGGAGGATTCCTGACCCATCTGAACGACAGAAATGTCCCCACTGTGTGGGGACATGGAGCTGCTCAGTGGCCCTTGTTCTATTTAAGTCTAAAGGTATTTGGCAGGAGGGGGGTGGGTGTGTTGCTCGGGAGAGTAAATCCCTGTAAATTCCTGTTTCCTGGGAGAAAACCCAGCTTGATACCATCTCTGCCCAACCAAGAGGGTTTGGAATGAGTCATCGGCCTTGACTCCTGAACCAAGACCAGATCATGAAGGATACAAGCAGGACAAGTCACAGCTCATGTCCCACAACCTGAGTGTGCTCATGGCTTCAGCTCAACAAGGACAAACAGCTGCTATCTGAGCAGAAAGATGGGACCTCTGGCTCTGTTTGGGGTCCCAGCACAGCTGGAGGGGGGATGGAGCTCTTTGGGCTCTCGTAGTTTTTGAAACTTCCTCCATCCTGAAAGAACATGATGTATGGGTTTACATGGAAATGTGAAAACAGCAACAATTTAAGCTCAACTAAAGCTTTTTTCCCTCAATGTTTGAGGTGTTCAGACAAGGCTGCAGCTGTGCCCTGGCTTACCTTTCAAAGAAGCCGTTTCAAGGACCAGAAGAAAGAACCTTTGTCTCTTAAAAAGGCTGAAAGAAAAGGTCAACTCAAGGCATTTTCAGCTTCTTTTTTTTTTTTAAGTGCCAAAGTCATCAAAATTGGCCTGATCCCCAGAAGGATCTGTCTGAGGAAGGTTTTGTTTCAATGGAAAATGTTGCACCAAAAATTTCCCAGTAGGAGCTGGGAGGAGCCAAGGGGAGAGGGATGGGGGAGGCCTCGGGAGATGCTCAGAGTCCCTGGGAGCTCAGAAAAGCAGCCTTGCAGTCCCCTTGTGGTCCCTGCCAGACCTGCTGTGCTGGGGGGTCAGCCCTGGGCAGGAGGATCTGCTCACATCCTGGTACTGAGAGGTTTGGAGAACAGGAGCCATGGAATGCAGACACATCTGTCATAGAATCCTAAAACGGTTTTGGTTGGAAAGGACCTTAAAGCTCATCTCATTCCACCCCCTGCCATGGGCAGGGACACCTTCCACTGGACCAGGTTGCTCCAAGCCCCGTCCAACCAGGCCTTGGACACTTCCAAGGGTGCACAGAACATCTCCTGTGCGAGCACCTGACTAAGGGCTTTGCCCCTCTGTGTCTGTCTAAGGGTGATGTTCTCCTCCCAGCAGCTTTTAACCATCCCCTGGGTTCCTGCTGACCCTGCAGGGTGACTTTCTCCCTAATCCTGTGGCGAGCCCCCCCTGCTCCTCCCAGGAGAGGAGCTCTCACTCTGCTGCCCCGTCACATTCCAGACGACTCCCAGGTCTTCCGTGTCCAAGTGCGTCAGGTGGAAGACTACCCTGTGGACATCTACTACCTGATGGACCTGTCCAACTCCATGAAGGACGACCTGAGGAACATCCAGAACCTGGGCACGAAGCTGGCCAGCGAGATGCGCAAGCTCACCAGCAACCTCCGCATCGGCTTCGGGGCCTTCGTGGACAAGCCCATCTCCCCCTACATGTACATCTCTCCTCCAGAAGCCGTGGAGAACCCTTGCTATGAGTGAGTCCCGGGTTGAGGGAGTCTCGGGAGGGCCAGAAGTTGATGAGACATCACTGGAATGTGGCTGGAAATCCATCCCAGTGCCTGATTCCGGGCAGGGTTCAGACCTTGCTGCACAGGGTGTTCTGCTGGCCCAGGGAGGAGGAGCAGGTCTAAACTGGAACTGTCATTGTCACTGGGAAGTCCTTAAGGGAGCAATTTTACACCAGTTTTTTATGAGAAATGTTGAGGCTCGAAGCAAATGACTCCTAAAAATCCCAGCAGGTCTGAGGCTGGGAGCTGCCCTGAGCCCAGCACCTCTAGGTTGATTTTTTAGAAGGTCCTTCACCGGCCTCTGGATGTGCCCTCTCCAGCACATCCTGGACAGGACCGTGGGACACGGGATGGCTGCAGGGCAGGGATGGGAGCTGGCAGAGCCCTGTGACTGTTGTCCCCCCCCAGGATCGGTGAGACCTGCCTGCCCATGTTCGGGTACAAGCACGTGCTGTCGCTCACGGACGAGGTGACCCGGTTCAACGAGGAGGTGCGGAAGCAAAGCGTGTCCCGGAACCGCGACGCGCCCGAGGGCGGCTTCGATGCCATCATCCAGGCCACCGTGTGTGAGGTGAGGGGCAAGAAGGCCTGGCTGGGGCTGGGGCAGGGTCACCAGCGTGGGCAGAGACCACCCAACCCCTCTAGGACAGGATCATGAGCCTTGTTGAGCTGCTGTGCCACTCGGCTCTGGAGAGGGTGAGCATTCAACCAGGGCATTTCCAGCCCAGTAGTCAAGGCAAGGGAAGAGCAGGACCTTCAGTGGTCCTGGTAGGAGAGAGGAGCAGAGGAGGTGATTGGGAATGGATGATGATCCCATGTCAGCTCTGCAGTGACCAGCCCAAAAGGGACAACAGCTCCTGTGCCTGCACCTTGATTTTGCTGGAGGGGTTGTATTACATCAGTCATTAAACACCTTGATTAACACTGGCAAATTAATCACAGAATCACAAAATATGCTACTTGGGAGGGACCCACAAGGATCATCCAGTCCAACTCCTGGCCCTGCAAAGATTCCCCTACAATTCCACCCTGTCCTTCAGAGCACTGTCCAAACCCTCCTGGAGCTCTGGCAGCCCTGGTGCTGTGCCCACTGCCCTGGGGAGCCTGGGCAGTGCCAACCACCCTCTGGGGGAAGAACCTTTCCCTGAGATCCAACCTGACCCTGCCCTGACACAGCTCCAGCCCTTCCCTGGGTGCTGTCCCTGGTCCCAACAGAGCAGAGCTCAGTCCCTGCCCCTCCCCAGGAATTGGAACTGCAGTGAGGTCTCCCCTCAGTCTCCTCTGCCCCAGCTGAACACACCAAGTGCCCTCAGTGTCCTCACACGGCTTCAAATCAAGGCCCTTCCCCATCTTCGTTGCCCTCCTTTGGACACTCTCTAATAGCTTGATATCTTCCTTAATAAAACCCATCTTTCACCTGTACAAGCAGCCCCTGCCCCCTGCCAGCCCCCACATGCCCACAGCACTTCCCTGGGGGAGCAACTCCCTGCATTCCTTCTGCCGTTGGTTGGTCCTCATGGCCAAGTCACGCCCCGGGGTGGCACAAAGGCAGCAGTGGGGCCCTGGCACAGGGTGCTGCCACATAACTGGGAGCTCCTTTCACCCCAGGAGAAGATTGGCTGGAGGAATGATGCTTCCCACCTGCTCGTCTTCACCACGGACGCCAAGACCCACATCGCCCTGGACGGGCGGCTGGCCGGCATCGTGCAGCCCAACGATGCCCAGTGCCACATTGGCAAGGATAATTTCTACTCTGCCAGCACCACACTGGTAAATCCTGGCCCAGGCGTGGGGTTGTGGAGCCCAGAGCTCCTGTTGGGTCCCCATGGGATGGGAAAGGTGGTCCAGCCAGGGCTGGAGAGCCGGGTGGTGGAGGTACATGTCCCTAGGGAATAACCTCTCCTCTCCCCCAGGATTATCCCTCTCTGGGCCTGATGACTGAGAAACTCTCACAGAAGAACATCAACTTGATCTTTGCTGTGACAGATACAGTTGTTGGCCTCTACCAGGTACCAGCTGCTGTGCAGACACATTTTGGGGGGCTGGAGGGTCCCCAGGAGCCAGCCATGGGTGGCTGGAGATGGCTTGGTGGTCTCCTGTCCCACTGAAGCTCCCTGGGAAGCTCCTGTGTGCCTGGGTGGGGTTTGACCCAGCCATGACACAGTCACCCATCACAAACAGACCTCGTTTGTGGTATTTCTACAGAACTACAGTGAGCTGATCCCAGGCACAACCGTGGGCACCTTGTCCAGAGACTCCAGCAACGTCCTGCAGCTCATCGTGGACTCCTATGGGGTAAGTGTGTGATGTGTTGGCCCCACAGGAGCTCTCTGCCTCCCAAAATAGCCCCTGCTTCACACTGCAAACAGCCTTCACAGATTTGGCAGCTCCCCCAGCCCCGAGCACCCTCCCTGGCCCAGCTGTGAGCATCTGTCTCCACCCATGTGTGCAGGGAAGGGAGATCACTGTGTTCACTGCCTGCCCCGTCCCGTCCTCAAAGGCATTCGAGGGAATGACGTAGGGAATGATGTAGCCGAGCCTTGAGAGAGACTTGGAGCACTTGGCTCCTGTCCTGTGGTGCTGGGGGGGACCCTCCCTGGGACTGAGCCCTCCCCAGTGCTGTGTCCTCATCACTGCTCTCTCCTTGCCTAGAAAATCCGCTCCAAGGTGGAGCTGGAGGTGCGGGACCTCCCCGAAGAGCTGTCCCTGGCCTTCAACGCCACCTGCCTCAACGACGAGGTCATCCCTGGCCTCAAGTCCTGCGTGGGGCTCAAGATCGGGGACACGGTGAGGATCCTCTCCATGGGCTTGGCCTTCCTCCCCCTCTACAAAGCAGTGCTGCCAGATTGTCTGATGCTCTGCACCAACACTGCCTGCTTGTCCCACCACCTCCCCGGTGACACGGGCCCTGGAATCTCGGCAGTGGAGAGAGAGGGTCCAGTGGGGTGGGTGCAAGCAGGAAAATGTTTGGAACCTCCTGGATGCCAACCCTGAGGTCCTGTACCTCAGCCCAGGCTGCTGCCCACAGTGCATGGGATCCTGGAATTGTTCAGATTCTAAAAGACCTCTAAGATTGAGTCCAGCCACTAACCCAGCAGTGCCAGGTCCACTAAACCATGTCCCTGAGCACATCTACACATTTCTTGCACACTTCCAAGGACAGTGACTCCACCACTTCCCTGGGCAGCCTGTTCCGATGCTTGACCAATCTTTCAGTGAACAATTTTTGTTAATATCCAATCTAAAAATTTGCCTGGTTATTGTAGCAGAGCAGGTGCCCTGGCTCAAACCGTGCTGGGACAGCTTTGATAAGCCCAAAGAGACCTGGTAGACCCTATTTGTGAGCTCCTCGATGTGATAAACAAAGTCTCAAGTTTCTATAAGTTTTTGAATGAGAGTTTATTATATGGTAAAAGCAAGCAGCTGGCTGGGTGACAGAAATGGGGACCAGTTTCCCAAATCTGCACGCCTACTACAGGGTACATTTAGTATTTATCTTAGCTACTTCATGCATATTAATTATATTATATACATATACATATACATTCTACAGGTTTTTGCTAAGTATTTAATATATGGGTTTTCTTACAGCTAAAGCTAAAAGGGTTATCTCTACAACCAGTCATAATTCATGCATTCTTGGATGAACAGGCACCTAAAAGACCGTATTTTATTTTTAGGACAGTAGGGAGGTTTAGGGCCCCTTGACCTTGTAAGGGTCTGTTTTATTTCTTTATGGGGGTGTAATTAAGTTTTGCAATCCGTTTGTTTTATTTTGATGTAATCACCCATTTGTTTCACCAATCACAATTATTAATTTATCACATCAAGCTTGGGCACGGTCTGGAGCAGGTACCCCAACACCTGTATTGTACCTGTCAGTACCGTGCTGGGACAGCTTTGATGAGCCCAAAGTGAGCTGGTAGACCCTATTTCTGAGCTCCTCAAGCTTAGAATCATAGAATCATAGAATCGATTGGGTTGGAAAAGACCTCTGAGATCATCAAGTCCAACCCGTGGTCCAAATCCAGTCCATTTACTAGATCATGGCACTCAGTGCCACATCCAATCTGCGTTTAAAAGTCTCCAGGGATGGTGAATCCGCCACCTCTCTGGGCAGCCCATTCCAACGCCTGATTATTCTCTCTGTAAAGAATTTTCTCCTGATATCCAACTTAAATTTCCCCTGGCGGAGCTTAAGCCCGTGCCCCCTTGTCCTATTGCTGAGTGCCTGAAATGCTTGAGCATGGCCTGGAGCAGGTACCCCAACACCTGTATTGTACCTGTCAGTACCGTGCTGGGACAGCTTTGATGAGCCCAAAGTGAGCTGGTGGGTCCCAATTCTGAGCTCTTCAAGCTTGAGCATGGCCTGGAGCAGGTACCCCAACCCCGGTGGCACTGACACCCAGCCACGCCCCTCTGCCCTCCAGGTGAGCTTCAGCATCGAGGCCAAGGTGCGGGGCTGCCCCCAGGAGCGGCAGAAATCCTTCACCATCAAACCCGTGGGCTTCAAGGACAGCCTGAGCGTGGAGGTGAACTTCGACTGCGACTGCTCCTGCGAGAGCCGCGCCGAGCCCCGCAGCCCGTCCTGCAGCCGCGGCAACGGCAGCCTGGAGTGCGGGGTGTGCCGCTGCAACGCGGGGCGCCTGGGCTCGCACTGCGAGTGCTCGGAGGAGGAGTACAACCCCTCGCAGCAGGACAACTGCAGCCCCCGGCCGGGCCAGCCGCTGTGCAGCCAGCGCGGGGAGTGCATCTGCGGGCAGTGCGTGTGCCACAGCAGCGACTTCGGCAAGGTCAGCGGCAAGTACTGCGAGTGCGACGACTTCTCCTGCGTCCGCTTCAAGGGCCACATGTGCTCGGGTGAGTGCCGGCACCGGCGGGCTGGGAGGGACCCGCTGCCGCGGGGTTTGATAAATGTTACACGAAGTTTATTTAAAAAGCCCCGCCGTCGAGGCGCAGAAAGGACTCCCTGGCTTTCTAAACCCCTTCTCACAGAGGAGTCTGGATCCAGCTGCACCCAGTCTTAGCTCGGATTATGGCAATGGTTTAAATTTAAGGAATTGCAGAGGTGTCACCGAGCTGCTTTTGTCCACCAGGTTTTAATGGCTGGCAAAATGAGACTATTTATATAAAATGAATTCATTATTATTATTTATTATTCATTATATATTATATATTATATATTATATATTATATATT